CCTAGTCCAGACCAGCAGTGCTGGAGCAGCTAGAGGCACCCCTAAACCCTACTGTGCTTGGATTTGATCAGTCCCTGCTCTTCCCCACAAACACAGGACGCGGACCAGAAAGGCGCCCAAGACAGGATACCGGATTCTAACACAATAGCACGAAGTACAACTTAGTGCAGCGGTCCAGGAAAAGCCGTCATCACAAAAGACAAAAGCAATCCAAAACCAAATCTTAATCATTCTGGTTTCAATTGTCTACATCATCTCACACCAAGCTCCCAGCAGCGTGCTTTGGCTGCGCGGATTTCCTCTTTCGCCGCCTGTGTCTAACTCCAAAAGCCCACAAACACTACAGGACGTCTCTCAAAGTTAGGGGCTCTCATCTCTCATAGCACGAAGATTCAAGAACCATCAAGCATGGCATGATAATCACTTGGTAGCGAAATGCAGGGCAGCGCAAGCGGATACTGCTTTCTGCAAGCGGTGACACGTGACCAGACCTCTGCCATAATCTGTAACCTTGACACAAAGGAATGGGTGACAAAAGCAGGAGTGGGCCCTATCTGCAGGCAGATGGATCCGATCCAGGGACCCCAGAAACTATCAAGAACCGTAGAGCCCGGGAGCACGAGTGGTAGTACAGTACAGTAGCTGGGTAAGCTACAGTACCGCGTGGTGTGGCACGAGCTTGTGGTGTAGCAGGGTTGTGGTATGTGTCGGCTGTGCCTGGGCACGGCTTGAAAGTCGTCCCAAATCCCTGAACAAAGTGCTTTACCTGAGTTCTCGCCCACTTTCCGAAGACATACGCTGCCATGCCTATGAACTTTACAGAGATCGATAGATCCTAGTCACTAGTCTCCCCGTAACCTTGGGTCTGCTAGTTGTCATTCGGCAGGAACTCCCCGGGACTACTTAGCAGAGCCAACTTCCGCAGCATCCTCGAAGAATGAGCCCCGAAGCGTACCTCGAACTCTTCTCGAGGAACAAGATTGGCGTTCTTGCCCTTGGTTTCGTGATGTGGCTACATCAAGGGCTGGGGTTCAGGCTAGGCTGCAAGCACTGCAAGAGATACTTAATCAAACAAGAGCATTCTGGCAGCGAGCTCAGGGAATGGGACGGTGTACTTGGTCTTGCTCACGGATATGATCTGCTGCGATCAAATCTGAGGCAGCTTCCCTCTCGGCGTTGAGCTGAGCCTTCGTAGGAAGTGTTCTAGCAGGTACACTGAGATGAACACTTGTGACAGCTGACTTCCAAGGCCTTTGTGGACAACGCGGTGGAATTCAGGGTGCCTCAATCTTCTACTCTGTGTTCACAACGATTCCCAGCCATAATCTGCAAAACCATCCACCCAGCCCTTCCTGAACAACCAAGCAAGTCGAGCAAGGTTGTTGATGTAAGCCCTGCTGAATAGGCCCTCAGCATCTGAGTTGATAGGAATGACTGCGAACACTGCAAGGCCAAGCCTAAACCGTTCACCGCAGAACTTTGACCACCACGCCCTTCCTGAATCAATTGTGAGCCTCAACCATCTTGTTCCTCTGCTCCTGATCCTTGACCTGGTGCTGCCTCGGCAAATGGCTGGAAGCATCCCGGGCCCATCCAACAGCATTGATAGACCGGCCTCCCACTTAGCAGTGACACACACGGCCCTTGCAGGAGAACATGATGCCCTGGAATAGACCCTCTGGCTGGAAACAGCCCCACGCTCCAACAATACACACAGCCTCTTCCGCTTTGAGGTAACCCTCCCATATGCAAACATAATGATCCCATGTCATGCTGCTCAGACGAGCAGCTTAACAAGCACGTTTTGCAGGCAACTTTGCAACATGGTTGTAAGAACACGGTTCCATTAAGGAACAAGGTGGTAGGGCTATACTCTAAGGTATGGCTGCACAAACATTGAGCGTGGGTCCCGCCGTCAAGGGACCAGAAGCGGAGGACCAAAAGACCAGAAGACCCGGGGACCAGGGGGACCTAGGCGAACCCAGCCTGGGCCAAACCGTTTGCAAAAACTTTTGGCAATAGCTAACTTCTTGATCACCACAAGCCTGCGAAGCAGGCTCTTTGGTCCCCGGCAACTTCGCTAGCTCTGCGTTGGTTTCGCGATCCTGCTTTCGGAGGGCCTCCACCTGTTGCAAAGCCGCAGGTCATGGGTTCGAGGCCTTCATAAGGCCTCGGCAAAAGAGAGGACGTACAAAGATGTTCAGCCCTTTCGCCGTCTTTGTTCTGATATGTCTACAAAAACCAACAAAATTTCAGGCGCAAAGGAGTTCCGCACCATGTAGGATCTAGCTCTTTTTGAGCCTCTCTGAACAGCTTTGTGCCAAGCAGCCTGCTGCCATGAATAACTCGAGACCCGAGAAGGCTGTACGATTCCAGAGCACGCAATCAGAAAGGCAGGTCAACCCACAGACTCCGCATTGCAGCATCTTCAAAACAACTGACTGCCTGCTTCTCCATGCGCTCAAGGTTGCTCAGGATGTCGAGATTCCTCGGATTCTTTCAGCTCGCGGCTCCAAAATTGTATACAAGTACAAGCTGTTTGTGCTGAGGATCGTGATGGTGTGTTTCTGTGGAACGTTCCTTCTACTGGTTGGGTCCATATAAGGGCCTCTTAATTACGCTGCTACACACTCGAGGCAAGTGCATGTGCAATATGCGCATCATGTTTTGAACCCATACTTGGCCGGATTCGCTTGCTCCAAACGTAGGACTCCAATTTTTGCAAGTTGGACTTGCATTACACCCCGAGCATGCAGGATGAGTGAGACTTATGTCGGCCATGTGGCTGCTTGTGAGACTCGTCAGACTGGTGTCGGTCCTCGCACAAGTGTGATTCCAGAAAGCCCCACTGAGCGACTTGAACTCCCAGCGCCACCCAGCTGGAGCCCGATCTAAAATTTTGTGGCGCAGAAATGACGTACTACACAGCCTATTGTGGATCGCATGCAATAGGTGACCCTCTGACGACCCAGTCCCTCTGGGAGCGTTTTTGCATATCTTCGAAGCTCTTCTGCAGGCTGTCCTGGTCGAGAACATGAATTTTGGCCCATAGCGCCTGTCTAACCCTTTGCAAACATTCCCAGTATACTTTCTAAATGGCCCTATGTCACGCCTACGGTGGGCTGACCTGGTACAAAGCCAGAAGCAAGATTGTTTTCCGGCCTTCTCCGATGAGAGCTTGTCACGTGTGGTCTCAGCACTGTCTAAGCTTTTGCCTTAGGAATCAAATTGTTTTGCGAATTCCCCACTGTAGTACGAGGACGCAGCAAACGGGAGCAGCAGGGCTTTGAGGACTGCTGAAATGACGCATGCAGCTAAAACAAAAAAGTGATCGGATGTCAGCACTCATGAGTGCCTCCTTGCCTTATCTCGGACTATACTTCGCAGAACAAGTGGTTGTCGGCAGGGGTTGGTCGTGAATGAACGCTGCATTGTAACACTGTGGTTTCCACGGGGTGGTGTAGGGCAGCATGCCTGTTGTTCCCGGCCTCATGAAGGAGGCGCTTTTCGCCACCAGTAACCAGTACACTACAAACAAGCACGTCAGCCTGAAGCCTTTTTTTCTCCATGCTATGGCTTGGCAGATTTTCTGCGTTCCAGCGCTCAGCTCGTGATACATGGTGCTGGCCTTATAGTAATTGCACTTACAGGCAGCCTTAAACAGCTGGCGGCTGGCTATAGGCAACGACGGCTGCGCGCTTCTATCCATTCTGCTTCTTTTGTTCCATCCCAAGCTAGGCCCTACCGGCTTCTATCCGCTCCCTATGATCCCCAACTGTGAAAAGCTGACGCACGAAGCAGGGCGCTGTGTTTTCCTCTGGCAAGATTCAGATCATTCGGCCTCAACTTCTGAGGTTCCTGGAAGGGAGGAAAGAAGATGCTACAGGACCTGCATGCTGTAGGCATGTGGCACCCCAGGCTGTTTACTTGCAGTACTTGCGGAGAAGGGTGCGGGAGTTGCCTCCAATAGTAGCCCAGAGTTGAAAGATTTGGTCTGGCACGCAAAGCATGGGCCAAGGCAATTCTCAACTTGGATCAGCCTGGAGCACGGTCCTACACAACTCGGTGGGTAATGCAGAAGAAATTCTCTAAGTGGACTAGATCTGCAGCGGAAGTTCAAAGGGGACAGCTCCAATCTTGCTCATTGGGATGGGACTGCGCAAATGTTGTTTTTTAATTGACTTACTGCAGACTGGTCACAGCTGTCCATGATAGCAAGGCCACATATCTGCAGCCGTGCTGCCCGTCATCAGGGCATTAAAGAACTTGATTGGATTCAGCGACTGCCCGAAAAGAAGAAAAGCAGGCTAGCACACCAAAAAGAAGAAAGAAAAAAGCAACAATGATTCTTAGTCTTAGACAAGAAATCCCTGCTTTAGAGACACGCCCACAAGACACTGCAATGTTGGAGCCTGAGACCTGAGGCCTGCTTCTTCTTTGGGGGCGCAAGGGTGCTGCAAAAACAGGATGGCTGTGAATCAGTGAATCCACGCCGAAGACTTCTCCCGAGACTCCGGTTTAGGCATGCGCAACTAAATGCGAAGAGCCGAGAGCTGTCAGGCACGAGCTAAGGCAGGACACTGACACACAAGAACACGCAAAAGCATGCACTGTGAGCAGGCATCTTAGACGCCATCACGAACCAAGTTTAAAGACGGTGCCATCATGCGCAGCAGAGTACCTTTGACACACCTCCATAAACATCACGACAAACTCCAAAATGGTGCCGCCAGCTTCCAGGGACTCAGGGCATCAGCACGGGTGGCACAAATCTGCAAACATCGTCGCCTCCCAATCCTCAGCTGAGTTTATCTTCTAGAGACTGCAGCCTTTGTAGTGCCACCGAAACGGGCAGAAATCGACCAAATGCCTTTCCGAAACCAAACCGTCCAAACCGAAGCCAAGAATCCGCAGCAATGGCCCTGATGCCTCCTTCCAGCCCTGGCTCTGAACTTTGCAAAGGAACTTGAGGAGGGACAGGTGGTGGGGTCTGCACGTCATCAACATGCGGGAGCGTTGTGCTCAATGGCCCAGGTCTTCGATGTGCTTCCGGAATGGAAGGCAGCATGCCGACAGCAGCCGTCTCTGCGACCAAGAACAGGATGATCTCCGGAGGTCACGTGCTTGACTGCTAGTGACGCGCCTTTGACCGAATCGGTACTGGACGATCTCGAGATGATGCGGGGCATGTTGCTGCCATCCACACCAACCATATCTGGAGATCCTGGCATGATGCCTGTCTCCTGATGCAAGGATCTGGGCACACTGCCTAACAATACCCCGTGCCCTTTCGCTGCACCAGCACCTGAAGACCGTGGCATCATGGCTGACATGCCGTCCCAAGTCTCTGTTCCATCAGCATCTGAAGCTTCTGGCACGACACTGGGCGATGCATCCCCACACGAGAATCTTGGCACGGAAGAGTCGGAGCAATGCCTGGATTCTATCGCCGAGTGCTGCTTCTCCTGTACCGTTCTGGGTAGAGTCAGTAACCTCAGCCGGCGCGGCGCTGGCGCTGGCGGGTGAGCGCGTGGTGACGAAGGCTGCTGCGGGGTAAAATCGCAGTGAGTCATGATCTGTTTGTTGCGAGCTCACGAGGTGATTCCCGTGACCTCTCTGCACGCAGGCGATATCCGACTGGTGCCTGTTGAGCCCGGGCCAAGTTTGGCTTCATACTCGAGAACGTGCACAGACAGAGTTTCGTGGCTGAAGTCCATCTCGCGTTGGATTCTTGCACACAGTTGCAGGTAACTTGAAGGCAGTTACAAATAACCTCTCTCCGCCACCCTGACGAGGACACCGTACATCCAGAAACACCTTAAACATCTGCCGAGGAGACCCAGAAGGACGTGGGTACGTCTTACACTGGCGTCGCCATCCCAACAAGGCCCTGTGGATGGGGACGTCTTAGCTGAAATTGACCCTTGCCCCTTACACGACAAGTCCCCAGACTCACCGCAGGAGCAGCTGAGTCTCCAGCGCAAGTCCCGAACCTCGGAACAGGAAGGTACGAGCATGCCACAGTGTGACGACCAGGCATCGTTCATGTGGAAACATCTAGATCCAGAAGCCATTCAAGCATGACAGCAGCTACAGTACACCAATCTGGCAAGCTTTGCTTGAGAACGCGTACCAGACATAATAGGCCACAGTGCTGTCACGGTTAACATACGGCTTAGCGAAGGTCAGAATGCTCGAAATCTTTTCTTTCTACGCGCCTTAGACAAATGCAGGCTGAGTCGGGTCTTCAGAGGGCAAGAGTACCTTTGAAAAGGTGCGTGGGCCATGGGCAGCCACACTTTGAAGGTCAGCGAGGCCAGCAGCCGCAGCATTTGAATGCTCGCGGACTGGCCATTCTTCTTCTGAAAGGTTGTAGGGGTGCCCCATAAAAATAGCAGTTTTCTCGAGACCCCACGCTCCTGTGGCATCGACATGGTGAGCTTGGTCGAGGTCTGGGCCTCGAACCTAGACCTAGCTGCTAGCTTCCTAGGAGGATGACCCTGACTTACATGTTTGCGCTCTGACTCTGGTTTGAGAATGCTCCGTTCGCCATCTGATATTCCTCAAAACCAACACCCTGTCTCCCCAATGGCACAATAGCAAACTGTGAGAAGAAACCACTCTCTTCGACAAACACCTTGGAAAACTTCTGTGGGGCCGCCCATGGCACCCCAGTCTGCAGACGCAGCGTTGCGCAACAGCCATGTTGCAGCTTGTGGTTTTTTTGTGGAGACCAAGGCCCCTCAGCTTGAATTTCCCTTTGAACCCCTCTGCATATTCCACCTTCGGCTTTGTACAAGCTGCAAGCGATACCCGGGCAGTGGTCTCTGTTCCCGGAGGTTCCCAGTTGGGCCACGAGGCGCTATGCGTCTTGAACGTCGGAAGCCCAGTCTGGGAGAGCGTAAACCCCAGGATCTCGATAACAACCTGACAAGCGACATTTTCTTCGCGTCAAAACGCTAGCGCTGCCGCAGCCCAAGCTCACAAAGTTGGACACTAAACGTCGAGAAATAGCTTGACCGGGAGGTCTTTGGTGCTCTCCAAAAACAGGGGGATGCAAGTAAACATACGCATATCTCCAAGGCATGTCAAAGTACATTAGACTGCCTAAGCAAACGGGAGCAGGGACAAGACAAAGTCAGAAGGAAAAATACCAGCATTTTGATCTTATGGAAAGCTCCTTTGGTGCTTAATGTATACCTGACTGCACAAGACCGCCCTGGCTGCACTACATAAGCCATGATTGCAGCCACTATTGGGCCGCTTGCGAGAGGCAGAAGCCAAGGGATGGTGAGAATCCTGGACATCTGTACAAGCGTGAGCAAGGTCCTTGGAGTACATATGTGGACGTGAGGCAACATCATGGTGTTGTCATCTGGCCCCAGTACCGATTGTAGGATCCTGCAGTTTTGGTACCAGCGCTTGATTACTGTCAGCGGCAAATGTCGGCCATGTAGCCGTTTATTTCACGATAGGCTCACTCCCTAACTCCAAAAGATCCGTTGCTGAGTACAAACTGATGATACAGACTCTCGGAGATGCACCGCGGCTCATCAGGTTTAGCTACTTACCTCGGCAGCTGCTGTACCGTGTGATGAAACGACGTGCTCCTGAACACGAAATGGCTTAGCCCAGAGATTCCTTGACAGCCCCTTCGATGCGCAATCCAAACGCCTTGGCATAGCGTGCCTCCCGCAACCTCATCGCCAACCGAAAATTGATAGCAGCACCGGGCAGCACCAAAAGATGGCTGGAGTACATGACACCCAGGCTATGATAGGTTTCCACATTATGTTCCGATCTGATCTTCTTTTCATGGGCTCTTGGTTTTTGGGCGTCTCCTGATCATTAGTTTAAGTCTCAGATTGCCCACCCTATCTTTGCTTGGGTGGCAAATCTTCAGGACATTGCAGGACCAATCCTGACGGTGTTAGCACGCACACCTGAAACGATAAGCCTCTCCAACTTGAGCTAATTAAGATAAGGGGAACCTCAAGCAACAAGCGTTCCAAAGCCAGTCTCTGCTACATTCACAGCCCGGCGCTCGAACACACTTGTCAGTGCGCTCAAAACTGCTTCTCAGTCACTCCGGCGGACATGATGCCTACCAGTACCAAGGATAGCGGATCAAGCTTTGGGGATGAGAAGCCATGTAAGGATTTGTGCTGGCATTGTCTCTGACAATGCTGGGGGATTAATAAGCATGTGGGCTTAGAACGAGTGCCAAAAAGGATCCTCCAGCAATGGGCTGCAGGAATCACGCTTTGCAAGAGCAGGCTTGTTCCTTGATCAGCTGTCCGGCTTGAACACATGTCAATGTCATACAGCTCCCCATGGTTGGGGCCCTTCTACAGCGACAGGCATGGAATGTCTCGTGTTGCAGAGAAAAGCTGCACCGTAACCTAAACAAGCGTGTCAGCAAATACAGGATACCCTGCTTTAGAGCTTTTGCCGCTGGCTTTCTACTGGGAATCTCGATTGAGAAAGGTTTTTTTTCCGGCATCTAGAGCATGGCCAGGCTTCTCCACAGTTCCAGCTCTGTAGCCTCCAGTTCGCCAACTGGCGGCGCAGCACCACGGCACAGGATATTCACGAGAAGGGCTCAAAATTGCGTATCACTCGCGGTCAGGGATACAATGTTTCGGCCAGTGCACTAATTACTCCAACAAACCACGACCACCCGTCCGCCTGTGGAAGACAAGCCTCCACTGATGATGTTGCCTTGGTTGGGGCGTTCGTAAGCCAGACTCTATCATGGTTGCTCATGCTGCTACCACCACCGCCGCTGCCGGCGGAACCACTGCGACCACTACTACGTCGATGACTACTACTGCGACGACAGCAACACCGACAGTAGCAGCAAAAGGCAATCTGATGAGATTCCAATACCACCTGCTTCGGACTGCTTCTGCTACATTGCGGTTGCTCTTTCGATAATCACAGAACCATCGTTTGCAAAGCCTTAATCTCTCAAGGGCGGAAGCCCCGACAGCGTCGCTGGTACCCAAAAACCCAGCAAAAGCATTGCAACAGTCCGTCTTAGACTCTGTCAATATACTCTTCTTCACGAGAAGTCGCTACAAAGCAACACTGAAGTTCGTGCAGTTCTACATGAGCTCAGCTGCCATGGTTCTTCGTGTCCAATGGGTGGCTCAGAGCTTAAAGGCTGACAGTTACAGCTTCACACCATTTCACAATGCGCTCAAGAACATCTTCAAGAATCCGTGCACAGCTCTGAAGCCCTCTGCCAAGAAAAAGTCTGGAGGACATGATAAAACAACAGCGACAGCAACCTGAGCTATTCCAAGCGATGCGCCCCAAAAAGCCTGAAAGACCATCAGGATTACCCGCAAGGAACAAAATCAGTACCATTTCCAGGATAACATGCTCCACAAACCACAGATAGAACTGGGCTGACACGGAACGGCAATTCCAAATTCTAAGAACAGCTGCAGGCAATGCAAGTCCAGAACATGTTCATACACAGCCCGGATCTCCCACGTGGTGACTGCAGGCTTATCCTCTCAAAGGCGCCCATCTCATCGACGATCTCAGAGCCACTCCACTTCTGGTGCGTAAGCGTTTCCACCTTTTAAAGAATGCGCGCATGGCCGGGGCTTTTGTTCTGGTTAAGACCACAATTCATCAGCTCAAGGCACTTGGCTGCTAGTTCTTTGGCTGGAGACTTAAACTTGTGACCTGGCTGACGGCCATGAGGGCGAATTGCAAGGTTCAATAACAAAAGCTTGCTACAATAGCTACCAGAATCTGATTGAGAAGGGCATATGGTTTCTTGGACCTTCCCAAACGCCTCAAACTCAAAGAAGCACGAACCTGAAAGCTCAAATGTCTAGGACGGAAGACAACTGGAACCATGCACCTCAAACATCTCCCGAAACATGGCCTTGTGCTTGCGCTCCTCACGCTGGATCATCTGGACATAGGCTGCAGCGCCCCTCTTGGCATAATCCTGCAGGCACACGTGCATGTAACAACAGGAAGCCTCTCACTTGTTCGGTTTTTTGCCCCTTGATGCCCCTGGATGTGAAGAGAGCAGCACAAAGGAAACGTTGGTTTCTGGTCTGCCCTTTTTAGGTTTGATGACGCTTTGTTTTGCTTATGGTTTTGGGGCTCATGGGGATTCTATGGGATGGCTTACAGACAGCGAATACCAAATGATGGCAACGGTTTTGTCCAGTCACGGCAGTCAGGGATTTTCCTAGTCGCAGCCCCAATACCATACTGACCGACAACGCAAGCTCAACAAGAGCAGAGGTAAGAGCAGAAACAGCGGAAATTACATGAATACTAGACAGCTACGAGGGAAATCTCCTTACTTAAGCTCCAAGTTGAAAGCATTTCAATTCTACATCCGCTAGACCGACGCAGCATTCTTTGTAGCACATGCAGGCAAATTATAGCGCGACAGAAACTGTTCCAGTCACCCAGTCAGCTTAACGAGATTCCAGATTTGACTACGTCACTGAGCAAGCTCTCAGTGAAACCACAGCATGTAACGTTTACATAATCTTGGCCAGCCTTCATTGCTTCGCAACACGACCTGCTCACACCACAGTACAACAGCAAACACCCAAGTGGCCAGTCAGCTTAACGAGATTCCAGATTTTGCAACACGACAGGCTCACAACACAG